AGAAGAAGAAGAAGAAGAAGAAGAAGAAGAAGACTTCAATTTGCAGGAGGGGGGAGGCTGAAAGAATGGGGGTCTGAGGGATGAGGGGGCTGGCTCAAACAAGAAGAAAAGAGAAAGAGAGGGTAAATTAGTCTTTTTGTAGAAATTTATTTGCCAAAAAAGGAAATGGGAAGAATCAAGTGGGACGGCCTAAAAAGGAAAGTGAGAAGAAAGATATGGGACGGAAGGAGTATTATTAATATATCAATGGGTGAAGCCAAATCTCTAATTATGAGTAGTCACAGATTGTTCTCCTCTCCTTCCAGCCACGAGCAGGAAAGGATCAATATCTTCATCTTCTTTTACGTTCATTAATCTGTCTGTAACCATTTAGGATCGGAGCGAGGACAATCCATGACAATTCTTTAATCTGACTGCGCGAATTCATGGCAGCCACCACTTCCAAGTTTGCTACCATCATCCACAAAATTGAAGGGTTATAGAAAACCTATAAGTTGCTTATGGAAAAGGTCACCACCACCAATGCCAAGAAGGGGTTCATTTGCAGGCCACATGATAGCATGGCGTTAGGGAAGATGTCAGGGGTTGGGTCTCACATGAATCGGAGGAATCTGTGCCCTCCAAATACAACAAGAAAATATCCACAAGACGAAGGATTCGTGTGGTGGCTCGGACCTCAATACACAAATATAGAATTCCTGACTTTTGCTAGAATTTCTGATCTGATCAGTTGGCAGCAATGTGAATTTGTTACATCACAAAAAAAACCTCTGACAAAGACCAAGTTCGTATTGTGTCATTCCCTTTGCTCAATAATGCACGACTTTGGTTGGGAGAGATGATGGAAGAAGACACAGGGGACAAGACATTGTTTAAGAAACATGGCATTGAATGTTTCAGGCCACCCCTGGACTAGGATGCGGTGGGCAAATTGAGGTTCTTGATGCAGACCGGGAGTCCAGAACTACTAAAGACTATTGCAATCAGTTATTTCTTGTTTTAATCCTAGACGAATCTAGGGCAGAGGAAGACCCACTGAATGGGTAGTGATTAGACAATTAAATTGCGTAGTGATTAGATAATAATCGGTCTATACGTAATTGAGCTTGCGGACAAGCTAAAATTTGAGATAGGGAGTAATGATATGGATCTGAGGTTTAATATCTAATTTGTTATTATTATTATTAGTTTCCTATAATTATATTTAGTTTCCTATTGAAATTATTATTAGCACTTGAAATAGGCCAAGCAAGGCGCCAACCAGAAGTCACTACTTGGGTCAGTTGGGTGTTTGCCTTTCTCACCTCAATCAGTCACCTGAAGTGATTGCCTCTCTTGCCTTGCGAAAATTAGAAACTGGGCCAAAAAAAAGGTGGTCATCTTGCCCCAGTGACCAAACTACACCTCATCTCAGTATAAGTGGTATAACATATGAAAGGACGAAGGAGTGGAATCGACATCTAGCCGAGTCAGACCCTTCTCTGTGAACGTCATTATCTGTGACTCTATGTCATTTCAAGTTTGGTGCAGTCCTTTTTTTGTTTTTTTGGCGCAGTATTTTTTCATTTTGTTCTTAGTTTGATTTTTGGATTATATTACTGGTATTGAAATTATGGCATATCAACTCGCAAGCCAGTTGTGCAAAAAAATAAAAACTAGCACACCAACACGGCTTATTGCGATAAGCAGGTGTTGCGGCAAGCTTATTGCCCATTCCATTATTGTTTTGTGTGTCAATTTAATTTTATACTTTAATGTCACTTTTTTCAACAACCAAGACAACAAACCTAGTATGGTATGTATGAATTTTGTTTATTAATATTATGTATTTACATACATTATTTCTTTTAACAGGGTTATAGAGATGACAACCATGTCTGCGAGTGGAAGAAGAGATCCATGTTGGAAATATGTTTGCTTAGAAAATCCAAGTAAAACAAACAATAAAACATGTACTCCATATTTTTTTCTGACCAAATCTACAGTGGGGGAATTTGTAGAGCAAAGAAGTGAAGTGAGGAGAAACATATTTATATGAATAGGAGAAAAAAAAGAGTTAGGGATCAAATTGTGATGGAGAAGGAAGTTCAACAACAATGACTCTGTGAAGATACATTGATGAGCTATGGTGATGGGGCTGCACTGAAAACTCAAAAGATTAACAAAAAGGGGAAAATGGATATGTCTGTAAACAACGGTGATTGGCCCACAGCAAGAGGGATGAAAAAGCAAAAAAGACTTGAATGATGAAGCATTGAAAGACTTGACGAGTTGAGAAAATTTTGCAATAGCAAGAAAGATGTATGATGTTGGTATTTCTATTAATGTTGATAAGTATGAAAGCTTACAAGAGGATTGATGCAATTGGCAAACATGGCTCAGGAATGAAAGCCCCATCACTTCATGAAGTTATAGGTCCTTTGCTCAAGAAAGAAGTTGAGCTTGTGAATAAAGCAATGAAAGATAATAGAGAAGAATGTGCAAGGAATGGTAGTTCTATGATATCCGATGGATGGAAAGACAATAGAGAAAGGACTTGGTTGATTTTTTCGTTATGCTTTTGAGCTTTTCAAGGCAGGAAACTGATCTTTGGGTTACCGAGTAAACTTGTATAAACAATTGGTCCGTAGAATGTGGTACAAGTCATAATAGACAATGCCACGAACATGAAGCTGGCAGGCAACAACAACCCAGTAGAATCTCACCATAGTATGGTCTCAGGAGGGTGTGGGGTGTGTAGGCAGACCTTACCCCTACACCCCTACTTAAAAACACATAGGACAAAATAAGAATTCATATTTTTACTTTATAATGTAATATTAACTTATGTACTCCCTCTGTCCCGAATTATTCTTCCCACTATCCATTTTTGCTCGTCTGAAAGTTTTCTTCCCCTTTCATTATTTTGCAAAATATTTTATACAAAATGTGTTATTTACCCTTTCACTACCCTTATTTTCCATTCATCTTCATTAGTCCCCTGACCCTAAATAACCCCACTCAGCGTCTCCAGACTCTCTAACTTCATCTCACACAATCTCAAATCCTCGTACTTCACAATGAAGAAGCTGGCTCGCCAATTATCCGTTTTGGTGACTTGTTGCAGTACACTTTGCCCGGGGTGGAGGCGCGAACAGCGGAGCTGTTTTGATCTCGGCGATATGAGTCCTTGGGATGATAAAGCTCAGATCTGACTCGACCCAAGTGCCAGACCTGCCGGTGTACATCGAAGAGAGAATGGAGAGATACGTGGTGAGCATGGAACTTCTCAACCACCCCGTCTTCGTCTGCCTCTCAGCAAGTCAGCACAGAAGTACAACTACAAGCAGCTAGGCGCTCTCCGAATCCCTTGCTGCATCATCATCTTCAAGTGTGCCCTCGATGCTCTCCGAACCAGATGCAGCACTGAGGCAAGCGGAGGTGATGAAGGCAACCGTGTGAAGCCAACGCGCAACATCAGTGATGTAGGCAACATTGGTGACCTAGCACAGCAGCACGTGCAAGGGCTGGTGGGGAATAGGGTAGGAAAGTAAATACAATTGTTAACTCTCCTAAATAGGCGTGTCAATTTGGGAAGAACATTCCCGGATGATGGGAATATTTCTTATCATTTTGGACACGTTGTGTCACCCATTGTTTATATTGGAGGATATACATAAAGAGAAAGATATCCACTTAGAGTTCAAATAAGCAGTGAAACCGAATAGTTGTATCGACTATTGCCCTCCGTGTTTAGTAAACTTAATGAGGAAGTTTGGAAAGGAGTACTTAAATCCTTAAAGGTAGAATACAGAAAAGCTGTGAAACTGAATAATGGCATCTACTCTCGTCCAGGTTTAGTGAATTTGATGAAGTTCGGAAAGGAGTACTTAAATCCTTAAAGGTTGTAGCCCCTTTAATTAAAGTTTTTTTGGCTAGTAGATGGTGAAACCAAACCCGCAATGGGGTAATTTACGACGCGGTGGATAGAGCAAATGAGGCCATAGCAAACATTTTTGGATTTCAAAAAAAAAAGTCGATACATTGAAATCATCAATCAGCTTCATCATCCATTGCATGCAGCCGGCCACAATTTGAAGCCAAAATACTTTTAATTTGATCCAAACACTGAACTAATGAAAAGGTGTAAGAAGGCTTGTATAATGGGCTCAAGAAATTAGCTCCAAATAGAGGTGGACAAGGTTTGGGTTCGGAACCAGACCGGTGGGGGTTCCTGGGAACCGGACCGGACTGCTGAGGGTAGGGGGACCGTTCCGGGCCTCTATTTTGGGACCCAGAACCAGCAGTTCAGGTACTCGATTCTGGTGTTTTTTTTGAACGCTGGAAACTTGGTGGGGGAGTTAAAAAATTGGGGCCGTGGGGGAGTTAAAAAAATTTCTTTTCTTCCCAATAAATACCCTACACTTCCTTAAAATTGATTCACTCAATTCTCAATTTCTGATTCTCTTACTCTATCAGTCTCAAATCTTAATTACTCTCTTATTCTCATAATCTCATTACTCTCAAATTCTCATACTTTCCTTATACATGGGAATGAGAAGAAGGGTTACTCTATCAATTGATCTTTACATTCAACTCTATATACTCTTATATCTCTAAATATCATTTAAATATGCTGCCGTAAAGAATCAACAGACTGCAGAGGATGTTGTTATACAATAAAGTAAATCATGAAAAAGTAGAATAGCAGGAGTAGGGTGAAACTGTGAATACCTTTAGCTTGCTTATAGCACGCAAACAGTCATCCTCAGACACTGTTTCACGAGCACTTTTACGTCTTTGAGCAAGAATTTTACATAATTCTTCTAAACTGATCAGGCCTCCATTGTGAGGCCTTGTAGTCAAACATATGTCAACAATTTGTACCCCTGCCTAGACAATTATAAAACTGTTACAGTTCACAACTCAAACAGAACACATATATCCATGTCATAGTCGTGATAAATAAAGATGATGTTGAAGCATATAACTGACCAATTTCATAATAGAAGTCACCAATTCCTAAGAGCTCTGCCCAGAAACCTTTGTTTGAAGCAAGAGGGTCAACTCCTACTTTAGCACACATCTCATGAAATTGTGATCTGAATGCAGGATTCTTACGAATGTCATTCTGTAGAGGAAGATAAATTCAATATACAACATCTGATGAAACAAAATGCTAATATGTACTATGTACTTCATTACACTACATAAAAAAACATGGTAAATAAATGGAACTTCTACTTCACGAATATCCAAAACATGTAAAGAATGCATAAACAAATACTAAAATATGAGCGTAAGAAAAAGCTCGAACCTACTTGCTAAATCTAAGGTTCAACTACACGGGAATGAGTGTGCACAAACATTTTTTTAGTTTCCCATTAAATTTTTATGAATGCTATAATGATATGGATCACTATATGTGACAGTTATGCAACCATTTCAAACTGTAACCTCCTGTAGTGTTCTTAACTTCTCAAATTGCATTCGAATTTGCACTAAAGTTTATGGTTCTTCCACAAACCGACATTGAGACCCAAAATTCCAGCACCTTTAAATGTAAAACGACGTCTGCAGAATCTGTTGCCGTCCAATATAACGAGCACATAAGCTGAATAGGGGTGGTTAAAATTGCGAGAACAACACATCGATTATCAAATATAACCAGTGTAAAAGTGAAAATATGAAAAATCATGTGTGTGTAAATTAAAATTAAACCTTGTGTTTTCGAGCAAAGTCTTCAAGCATAGAGCGAAAAGTAGCGAGCTGCTCTTTCAGAAGATCTGTTTTCAGTTTGGCTACATTTTCACCGAGCAATCGGTAGTGATCCTTATTTCAGGCACAGAGCAAATTAATTAGCCAACAAACAGGGAACGCCAAATAGAGTTCAACAAGGAAGAGACTAACGAACCCTAGCCGTGGCTGCATTCTGTAGTCCTCCGATTCCCGGCCTTCGCCGCATTCTCAACTGGAAGATTTTGCCTTATACGCTTCCAAATTAATCTCTGGTGGAACAGTGGCTGGATTTGAGGAGCACCATGAAAAAAACAACCTAAGAGCAATGGAAATTTACATTTGGATTATGCTACACTTATACCAAAATTTGTATCTCAAACTTATATCAAAACTATACATCAACATTTTGATGGTTCACATTGACACAAAGTGTTGATGCTTTAATAAAAATTTACACTTACACAAAGTATTAGTGTATTAACAAAAATTAGTATTACATCAATACAAAATGTTGATGCACAACTGCGGTGTACAAATGGGGTACAAACCTTTGGAGTACAAATATCTTTATCCAATTTACACTGCATAAAACTTATTTAGTTTGAGAATTCAAAAAAGACAAGTTATCCCAAATTTGATTCCATTTCTTATGCTCTTCTCCCTAAAACATTCTTCTCATTTTTATTTACGAGATTTGACCAATTTTATATTTAATTTAATTTATTTAATTGTAGATGTAAAATTTAAAAATAAAATTTATATATTTAAAAATTATATCAAAAGTTATATAAAACAATAAATGACAAGACTACATTATTTTATCAAATAACTAACAAAAATATATAAAGAAAGTGATTAAAATTTGACCGTAAAAATAATAACTAGAAAGAACATTTTACGATGGAGAGAATACCTTTATGTGAAATTTGCATTAAATAGTACTAAAACATATGTTATTTCCCAATGTAATATCTAAACTTTTTTATCAACTAAATGGTACTTGAATAATGTCTAATGGCGTGAACAATGCCCATCGATGGAGGACATTTACTTGAACAATGACCAGTGGACATTGAACAGTGGTACCATATTCAAAAATAAAAACATATGGTATTCCATTGGGAAAGTTACTATGTTTAAGTACTATTTAAGCAAATTTCCCTATCTTTATAGATATTACAAACATAAAAGAAAATTAGAAAAATGTTAAAAACTCACCAAATTTAACACTAAGTATTTTGTACTCCGTATATATCTCCTTAGACAAAGATTATTTGTACTATATTTGTGATAGCAAATTCTATGGTAGACGCAAAGTCCGCCATGAACCTACATATGAGCAAAAATAAACATTTTCTTGCTACTTAAATAATCATATATTTTTTTAAATAAAAAAAAATTGTTTATGTGAGAAGGTCCACAAAAATGGTATGCACCCAATGTGCACTATACTCATTTATGAAACATTTGATGTCACATCTAGTAAGCTTCTAGGGTCTAGCATAACTCAACATAAAATAGTATTTCAAGTTGTTTATAAGGCATTTTTCAAAAAAAACAAATATTTGTAAAGGCATTAGTGTAAAAAAGGGTCAAACTTGGAACACCCCAGCATGACTCATGACAATTTTCTTAAGTTTGAACCTACGGCTAACAACTAAAGTCTCTTTGTCTTCACGAATATGAGACAGATCTAATCATAGTAGAAGAACAACTATGCTAACAAGAAAAATAATGTAATAAGGAAAGTAATTAAATATAATATTTATTTCCTATTATCTAATATTTCTAATATCTCCCCGCAAGCTGATCATCGGTAATGAGGAGTAGTTGGAGCACATGTACTAGAATTGAGCTGGCAGAAGCAGTTTAATGAGATAACCTCTAGAAGTAGAGAGTCAATCTTCGTTCCATGACAAACCAGTTTGAAATTACGTTTGTTGAACTTTTTCTAAGTGCGAGTGTTGACAATTGGAGCGAGGGCGAGGACTTTTTTTTCTCCTTGTGGACCGTTCTCTGCTTTTCGAGCGCTTTTCATGCTCTCGATCTCTAGAAAAACACAAACAAATGCAGACAAATGCAGTTTTTTGGAATAGAGAGAGAATGATTATTTTCTAGAGAGAAAGAGGGGGATAATGGGCAGTGGATGTTAGCTCGTCGAGATTAGTTAGTGACGACATGCTGTCAGACGATCGGTCGCTGTAAACAAAGACCGGTGATGTGCCTGGTCTTAAAGAAGAGTCTAGGTTTTTGAGAACCTTAGCTCCGATACCATGATACAATATGATAATAATTGGTCTGATTAAATATTGAAGGATACATCCATATTTATAGGGATTACATGAGAGTGTTTTAATTATAGTATGAGAACAACTATGGTAACAAGAAAAATAATATAATAAGAAAAATAATTAAATATAATATTTATTTCTTACTATCTAATATTCCTAATATGCCTGCATTTAAGATATTTTTTAAAAATTTAAAATACTCTTTTCGCGCAAGTTGTAACTTTCATTTTTATTTGGTACGATTTCTAATGTAATATTCAAATTACTTTGAGTTTCTCAGGATACCCTTTACTTCTATGTGTCTATCTTTTGCCTTCGTTGTCCCAACTATTTCTTTGTTTCAGTGAATATGGAGTCTCTTGGTCTCCTCCCTTAGCCACTACACTAGGGGAGTCGTCAATTGTGGTTGAAGTTATCCCATAACAACTGGTCTCGATGTGATGGTGTTGCTGCAACGCGTAGCCCCGCCAATTTATTTCTTCTAGTGACGCAAAATGCAATGAGTCAATTGATTGCCTTCATCCTCCTCGGAAGTGTCACCAATCTACCTTCAGACCTAATGTTTGCATTCTAAAAATGTTCTTATTCTGAGGTCGATTAAGTTTTAAAGTAGTTCAATAACGTTAGAATTTCTAAGATTAAAGTCTTATTAGTCTTATATTGGTAGGATCGGTTCTTAGAGTTTAGGCACATGGTAGATTGCTACATCATCTCATGGAGAGGCAGCGGTTACTAGGCCTAAGTGTGGCAGCATATAGAAAGAATAAAAACGAAGAAGGGTAAATCAAACTTTTTGGTATAATTTGTTTGCCATATAATGATTGAACATAGGAAGAAACATGTAAGACAACCTAAAAAGGAAAATGAAAAGAGAGATACAGAATTAGAGAATTAATTTCTCAATTAAAAAATTTCTTAATACAAAAGAGACCTTTTGACATTATAATCCCAACCCTTTGACCTATCGGCATATATTTCATATGGTCCAGATTTTTTTATTTTTTAAATAATTCATTCATTTAAAAGTCTTCATATATTCCTCAAAAGTCTTCATTTCTTATTCTTTTACAGCGCTATTAACTGCAATCTACTGCATCAAAAATCTATCAATAGTGTTCATTTGTCCAAATTCATAAGGTCGTCAGGTGTGGGATAAAGGAAGGCCTCGGTGTAGCTGGTATCGACGGGGAACACCATCCCCCCCTTCGGGACTCGGCATCTTGGGGATCTTGACGCAGAACTTGTCGAAGCCTCCAACAAGTTTTTTTTTCAAAATTATGATCATTTGGTCATTAAGAAATAAGAAACTCTTTTTTCTTCCCTAATTAAACCATCTCACATTCTCCAACATTTCATCCATTCCCTCTTTAATGTTTTTACTCATTCTTCTCTACTCTCACACATTTGTTCATATTTTCGTTCCCTACTCTTATCAAGTTAGATTAGACACAACCCATCCAAATTGCTTGTAATTTTCATTACTAAAATATGTTTCAGTCATACACCAATTTTGATCAGTCAGGCTTTGGTCTATGGAAACTGAGTCAACCGACTTCACCTCGTCGCCATAAATTCCCCAACCGATCCAACCCTCACAAACGTACTACACCTTGGTGCCGCCACCCTACCAACCGTACTACACGCCCCCACAACCATCTCAAGCACACGACATTGGTTCAACGGACGAGATTGTCTCTGCAACATAACCAGAAGACTCCAACCGCGGAAAAGAGAAATAAAGAGGTCCCACTAACCCCATGACAAGAAGCATAAAAAACTATGAACGGCCAAATAGGAGATTGTGTTGGCGAAACGTGGGTTAATGTCTCCGAAGACCCAATAAAAGGTTCGCTTTTACAAGTAAATTCATATTTTAATGTAATGCTCTTAATTTTAAACTTTAACAATGTAAATTTGTGATTTTTTAATGGAGGCAATGTGCAAACAAGTGACAAATCTTGGAATAAAGTTATGGACCAATTTCATGAGATCCTCCAACAATCGCATTACCGACTATTCTGCTACGTTAGTTCCAAGTTTTGGGATGTGAGCAAGAAATTGGGGTGGTTTGGTAGTTTCTACCAAAAATCCTTTAATGAATGTCGTAGTAGTGGTACTAGTGACGATGAGGTTCTATGAGTGGCCCTCAGAAAGTATCACACAAAATATGGGTCGTTTCAACATATGGAGGTGTGGGAAATCTTACGTACTTGTCCAAAGTAGATTCCGGTCAAAAGGTTCAAAACAAACTAGTTAGGGGACTATAACATCGGGTCATTGGATGTACATTTTCCCATTTTCCAAGCATGAGGACTACGATGATGAAATCCCAATTCCGTAGGCAAGCAGGCCTGCCGGGAGGGATAAATCAAAGGAGGCATCTTTCACTTGAAGGCCTCACGGGGTTTGATCGCCTTCTAGCCCACATCAACTCGTTCAATGATATGTTTTCGGAGAAGCTGCAACAGAAGCAATAGATTTCCACGAAAGCCGCATAGAAGGAAAATAATAGGCTAGATATTGAGGCAAAAAGAATAGAGTTGGAGATCATGAAGGATACTGACACCCTTCCACTGTTGGAACATGCAGTGTTGAAGAAAATGAAAGACAAAATGTAATAAAAGTAATGTAAAAAAAGAATGGACATACCACACCTCTGAATGATATGAAATATGGAAATCTGACGTGACAGTGAGTTAAAATATGTGGATGGCCACAAAGGAAAAATCACACCACACCTTATAGCCTAAAGCATCACATAGAATAAAAAAAATTCCTCTACTTCCCGCCTTCATCTCAAGAGGTGAGTGATAAAAGTGAACATTATAAGAGTGGTACCATATCATGAGTGGTACCATTGGTTAAAACTTTCAATGAGTAATACCAATAATATCATTTCTGACTCAACTTCATGATCATCCGCTCTTGAAGAAAAGTCTTTGAAAACTAATGATCTCTTCTCTTTTTTTCTCAATGACATTTTGTAACTTGGTAGTCACACAGGTAATCAATTTACCTCTCACGCCATCTTAGGTTAAAATGTTGAATATTCTTCCTTCATTGATGACATCGACTTTGGACTCACATTTTCGAGTGAGGCAACAAAGTAATTCTCGTATGAGATCTCGTTCATCATAATCATTCCCAAGAGTGTCGAAGTTGTTGAGAATGTAAGATAACCTTTCAAACATGCCATCGATTCTTCTCATGTTTTTTCTTTCATCTAAAAAATTTCATATTCATGGACAAGCATAATGAATGTTACTTCCTTGACTTGTGTGGTACCCTCAAAGATGACTTCAATTTTTTCCGTATTTTGTTGGCCGATTTGCATCTAGGAATCTTCAATAAGTCTTCCGGATTCACTAATAAGTCTTTCGGATTCATTGCACAATACAAGTAATTTATAGCCTTAGCCTTTTGTTGAACGCTAAGAGCATCCTCCTTTGTAAAATTGCTTTTTAGATTTGGGATGTTTACTATATCTACGTTCATCAACCTAAAAAAATATCTACGTTCATCATTGGAGCGTGTTGCCATGCTTGATTACTAGCTATGTGTTGAAATCATTATACTAGAAGATCCGTTCTTTCCCATACTTATAATTGGAGCTATCAAGGAATGGTGGCCTCGTTGTAGATTGTCTTTCGAAAATCTTTGCATTACAATATCTCCTTCCATGTAGATCTTTTGACTATGTAGCAAAGCGTGTTAGTAGTCACTACTTGAATACCGATTTTTTTAGATCAATCCACATCTCTAAAGAGGATGAGAGGGTGAATAGAGGTGTAGGGAAGTTTTGAAAATTTTCACAAACATTGCTGAAATTGTGGCTATGCTCTTCAGAGGTTGTTTTCTTTCTTTCTTTAGATGGTTTTTCATCTTCATCACCATTTTTGAAAAACAAATAATGATTTTCGCTTGATCAATGGTAATGTTAGAGGGTCAAAGCTCAAAACAAAGAGTTTGCATTAGGTGCATATCGCCGTACAAGGCTCAAGTTTTTGCTTGGGAAGTACAGCACAGACGTTTAGAGCCACTTCTCTGTGAATGTAAGATCTGTAGATGGTTTTCAAGGTGGAGAAGAAAGTGTTGTCATCATCTCCACTTTACGGTAGCGGATCAGTGGGCTTCTTGTCCAACTTCCAGTGCACTAAGGTGCCAGGATTTTTCCACCTCGGCTCACGAAGTGTTTTTTTTCCTTTTTATTTTTAAAAAACGTGTCTTACTAAGATCAAGATTCTGTATTTGTTGATCTTTATGTAGATATTGCCTTTGGGTATTAGGGAATAGTGCTACATTGATCAATAGTGGTTGTGTTTGGATGCCTGCACCTTCAAGAACTTGGCAAGAGCAATAGCAGATGCATCATCTGATGATTTAACAAATTCTAAGCAATGGTTACTCCTGCAGGATTATCATTTTCCGATTTTTGAGATTTAACCAAACAAAAAAACTCCTTTTAAATCTTGTTCTTGATCAAAACTTGTTAATGATAACTATGCCTTTCGGTATAGGAGGTTTTCCAGAATAACAGAGCCCCATTTTCTAAAGAACGTGGAAGCGGCTCAAGATGGCATCAATAAAAGTGAAGAACATCTTTTTTATGGAAGGAGAAGAAAACTTCTCACTCAGACCTGGAATAGTCATGCTCCACAACTTTGGCTACATGTACTTGTTCAAAAAAACCAAAAACAAAGGAAGCAGTATTAACACAAAGGTACAAGTCATATTTATTACTGGAAGAACGTTCGCGATTACAATTCCAGATCAACATGGGTGCCATGATGACATGATCATGGGCAAGAACATAGAACAACACAGAAATCTAACAAACAGAACTCTACTGCACCAGTAGTAGAGATAAACGACCACTACCAAACACACGCGCAATCAATCAGTCTGATAAAGGGAGCTTAAAAACCATGAATCTTGATCTGATCTTTCTTCAGAATACCAGCATTGACAAGGAACTGAGAAACATTCTTGCGCTGATCGCCTTGGAGCTGAATCACCTGCCCAAGCTCTGGATCCTGGACCACAGTGCCGTTGCAGCAGAATTCCTTCTTGAGGTCCTTGAGGATCTTGTTGTAGCTGAACTCCTTCTTCAGCCCTTGCACTGTTGTCAGGCTCTTCTTCCCATTCCTCTGTTGGATGCGGATATGCACATACTCCTTTGCTCCTTTGGTAATGGAACTGTCCTCGCCCTCAGCAAAGGGATCAAAAGCAGTTGGGATCAGAACCTCTGTGTTACTAACCATGTAATTAGTTTCGACAAACTAGTTCCTTCTTCTACCAGATATCTGCACAACATAAACCGTAGATTTACCAATAAGCGCCCGTATCAACAAACCCTAACCCTAGAAATGCGATCCAAATCGCGGATCTAATTTAACTTCCAGAAATACAATCGCTCACACTGGTAGGATAGAATTTCAACAGATCATCAAATCAATTAGCGTATTAATCGTTGTCGACACCAAGAACCAGAAATTAGAAACAGAGACGGATCGATTCGCATCATAGACGAATCGAAATCAAAATCAATCAAAATATAATTAAAATCACAGAGAAATGAAAGAACCTCAAGGGGATCTAAATCTGATCTACTGGAAAACAAAAAACAAAACTAACCTCAGAGAGCGTTCGACGCGGATGCTTTGCTCGGTGAGTCGGGCAAGATATGCGAGATCGAGATGGGGAAGGGAAGAAGGGAATGGCGTGTATTTAAAAGGCGGAGTGTGAGGCGGTGTGGGTCCACGATGTTCCTTAGCCACAGGGTATTGAAGTACGATATACGGTTACGTGTGTTCATTGTGTGCAATTGACCAGTTGTTCGTTCCACACCGAATACGATGCTCTATCATTTAATTTAGACGTCTCGAGAAACGCGTAGATTCAACGCTTCTTTTCATGCCACATGTGGGGGTTTGTTTTAGAAGTTAATATCATTTCATATTTTCATTGATGAAAGTCTAATTTTCTTTCTTGTCTAATTGCGTACGAGAGGATCCTCTAAATGAGGCTCATCTATTTTTAGGATAAATTTTATTAATTGTCTCTAGTGTTCTATCTGCTTCAATTTAAATTATATGTTCTAGTTTCTGATATTTGATTATAATTACTTTTCATCTGTTTTATATGAAAATTAGTGTAAATTTAAAAATAAAATTAATATACTAAAAAGTTATATTCAAATGAATATAAAAATGGTTAATAAAAGTAGTTAACATTTGATTATGTGAATCGGTAACAAACAACTCAAATTAGAGTAATTTTTTATATTTAGTCCCTATTCATCAAATATGGAGTTTTAAAAGTAGGGTTAAATATTTTTTTCATCCCAATAAAATAGGCGGCTTTTATTTTTATCCCTGTAAAATATTTTTTATTGAGTAATCCTTACAAAAAATTATTTTTAAAATAGTCCCTAAATATAATTTTCAATTCTAATTTGTTGAGATAACACATGATAAATACCCTACTCTGAGAAATCGTCGGCCAATTCAGTTATCATTGACCCAAAGCAGAAACCCACTTAACTTTGAATGGTCAGAATGCACTCAGTCATACAAAGCGTACTCTGCAGAGTGAGTTGGCTGAACCAAGTCTTCCGGTTACATAACCACACTCGTCCTCTTCCTAAATACATGAACTCAGAATTNCCTCTGCAACAGTGCACACTCAGACTCTTTAAGTATAACGTACTCGGCCATCAGAGGAAATGACTTAAGCTTTATATCTTAGAAAGGAGCATTGGATTCCTTATGCCCTGTCTAAATCTTCGGACCCACTCAGGAACATTCCTTGTGTGTGGTACACCTGTATCTTCTGGGTCACCACCCACAATCATGACATGGCCTCTGTCCAAAACAAACAGCTAGAGGACAAATGCATAGGATGAGTGACTTGTGTAAATACTCCCTTCACTTTAGATGAGGGACATCATAATCTTACCAAGCAATAATACACTCATACTGCACTCTTGCAAACTACGAGCACTCTGCTCGTTCAAATTACTCCCCTTACCTAGTCTACTTTAGGCCCAGATTCTAAAACCCATCAACACATTTATTTCGCACTAAGCATCATAGTTTTACGTTTCTACTACCTTCGATACAATTCTCATGCTCTAAATTGTATCCTTATTTATATTACATCTCCAATTCCCAATTTTTTTAGGAATATAATTTGTTTTTTCTATGAAGATCTCAATGTATAAGATATCTTTATATCTAAAATATATGTATAGATACAAATACATGTGTATGTGTAGTATGTAATACTTTTTACCATATGAAAATTTTATAGAATAGTATAGATTACAAAAAAATAAGAAAAATACAACCCCGAAACAAGTTTTAAGTGCATGAATATATTAAAAGTATTTATATATATTGCTCCTTATATAGTTTATTTTGACTTTGAAAATTTGAAAGCAGATACAAATATATTGGATATGTAACACCTTAATCCGTCCAGGTCTGCAGCCCCTTTCGGACTAAGGTATTTAACTTGGTAATCGTAAAAATTTAACTTTTCAAACACACTTTATTAATCCCAATAATGTTTTTCATAACATACACAGTACGGAGTATTCAACAATATTGCGGAAGCCAATTTAATTTTGACATATCATAAATCATTTCAAACTTGTCACATCCATCCCGACAATTTCGCCCCATCTGCCACCAGGATCACATTGGTCTTTCTATTTTACCTGCGTGTAGCAAATAAAACACACTACACGCTCAGCGGTAAAGCTGAGTAAGCATATCTAATGCATCGAACATCCATATAAACTGAATCTAAATTCATAATCAAATCATTTGATATCATGCACACAATGTTCATTTCAGACATTCACAGTTTTGATAATGTTCAGTTCATATCAACACATTTTATTCAATTCAAATATTATTCCGACAGTGCCTTTAAATTATTCTTAATTTAAGGCCAAATAATAACAATGCTCTTAGTTATTCTTAGTCTAAGGTCATATCATAACAATGCTCTTAGCTATTCTTAGTCTAAGGTCAAATCATAATAATGTTCTTAGCTATTCTTAGTCTAAGGCTAGATCATAATAATGCTCTTAAAAAGGCAATTAATTATCAGACACTTAAACTATCATTAGTTTAAGGCAATTGATTTCGGACACTTAACTGTAGTCAGTTAAGGCAATCAGACACTTAAACTGTCATTAGTTTAAGGCAAATGATTTCAGACACTTAACTGTAGTCAGTTAAGGCAACAACAATATAGCAATTGATCAACATTGGATCGGACATTCCCAAACGAGTAATCCTCTAGCTTGGTCTACGAATTTCGTTATTACATTTTCATCCAATCACTGAATATTCATGTTTCACAAATCCATACTAATATGAGATCTATTCTAGAGGTCTTCTAGATAGCCTTAACATCAATTCTCTAAATGGGCATATCTTAGAGTTCTTCTAGATACCCTTAACACTATAAATCATTTCATAATTATAAATGTATTTATTTTAATTATGATTCAATTATAAATACTTATTTTAATCGGTAGGTTCATTACTCATAATCATCCATAATATTCATTTATCATAATCATCAATTAAAATAATAATTGATAACAAATAGCGGCCTAGCTTCGAGTGTTAACACCCGAACTTACCGTCATGCAACACATAACATTTTTAGTTGTTAAAAACATCATTTTTATTATGGTAAATCATTTTTATAATGATCATAATCCATTGGTATCAAAAATAGGATTTTAGAGCTCAAAAATAGCAATTTCAGACAAATTTTCGGATCAGAACTTCGGGGATCGATCCAGCCCTCTGGATCGATCCATGATATGAAAAAATGTTTCGAGAGGATCGATCCAAGCCTTAGGATCGATCCAGGCAGTGTTTTTCAGCTTACTGTTCATCTTCTTCAACGAAACTATATAGAGATGTTCTCTAAGGTTCATAGATCATTTTTGCATCATTAATTCATATTTTTAACATCAATTTCATGGTTTATGATTCTTGGTTCTTCAAGCATGTTAAACACAAAACTCAACCAAACGAGCGTTTATGAACGTAGAAACGATCTATACGAACATTCTAATCATTAGATATATCTACGGGCTTACCTCTAAGCTTATAGAAGGTTTTGAAAATTTTCCGGTGAAACTTTCGGCGATGATTACTCCCAATTCCGGCGACTTCGGCGGCAACCAACAACACCAGACTGCTCTCCTTACTCTTATGAACACAATGGTATATATTTCCAGAAAATTGGTGAAGAATTAGTAAGGATTGGATATCCTTATATAGGAGAAGAGAAAGGGAAGAAGTCATTGGTAGCTGACTCATTTCTACGTAGAAATTCCTTAGTGCGCAGGACGGCGATTCTAATTGATCTACACGCCGTTCCCTGATTGGGACTAATTTGGTTCCAGTTGGGGTACACTTTTTGGTCCAACTTTCTCCGAATTAAATTTCGTTTGCACAGTTGCGATCAGACAGTTAAACTCTATCCAACGGTATAATTTTTATATTTATTTGTAACACTTTTTCCGACATCATATTTTTGGGTGTTTGACTTTGACAGAGTCAAAATTGATTTAATTGACTTTTACCATAAAAGGTTCTCACATCTAATTCATATCATTTATTCTCATGATTTATTTCAATAAATCATTTTAAAGTTCGCATCATAATTAATTTCTTCATTTATTCTTGATTTGGGTCTGTACTCAGGTTCCCAATCAAGACCACACAAATAATCAACATATAGGATTTATCTTTATGAGATTTATCCTGACTATGATATTGGATATCAAGACATATTTCGTATCGGCCTAAAGCCCAACTACAATTTATTTTAATCAAAACAAATTTGTTTAATCGAATATTTATTTATTAATAATTCTAGGGTATGTTTTGGGGCATTACAGGATATCTGACCGACATCTGAGGGATGCAGATACAATTTTGATTTTTAGCATCCGTCAAGATCCATATCTGAATTCGATATCCGATAAAAATAAATAGATACGAATTTGGTAATGGTACATCTGATCCGATTAACATTCGTTTACACTCCCGTGAAAAAGTAATGTCTATGTCTTTGATTCCTTTCCATGACCAATCCTTTGTCACTTCTGTTGTTATCTACATGTTCAATACAACATATAAAAAAGTAATTTCTCACCCCCTTTTGACAATTAAACCCTTCCCCCATCTTAAGCTACCCCTTCAAATCCTAAGCTTAGTCTTCGTCCTCATTGCAAAATTCAAAAGTTAATGTTTATGTATTTTTTTCAAAGGACATTCTCAAGAGATCATTCTAACCATACAAACAGATGCATGTATGGGAACGAGGGAGGGCTTTAATTGAGAGGCGTGAGTGGAAAATTGCCTTAATAACCCTGTATTTTACAACGACTAGATTTTGTTTGATAGTCATTTTGAGTGTAAATGAATGACACCATTTATAGTTAGATTCATTTTTTTCGGTTCAGTTTTCATCTAAAACTGAAAACCAAACGTAAGGATAAAGTTTGGGTTGGTTCATTTTTATGTAAAGAAATATGTGAACGGTTGGTTTATAAGCTCATTTTCCGCAGTTCGGTTTTTTATTTTTTGGTTTTTTTTGGATTTTTAAAATATTTTTTTATATGAAAACGTATAGTGTGTGGTAAAAAACATTTTATAAAATCAGAACTCTAAAATAGGTATGAATATGAAAATCATTGCTTGATAAAACTGAAATAACATACATTTTTTAA